GGTGGTGGGAGGTGAAAGGAATGGGAGGAGGGGAGGGAGTGGGAACTGGGATTGGTATGTAAAATGAAAAAAACAATCATTTGTTTTCTTTTAAAAAAAATAAATTAAAAAAAAGTCAAGTAAGAGGCAAAGACAGAAGAAAGTTGGTGGTTTTAGCAGGATAGGAAGGTCAAAGGGCTGCTGATCCCCACCCTGTTCCTGCCCTCACCTTACACCCAAGATCCTTGTTCAGACATTCCTGGAATGTTAATGCTTTGTAAAGCCTGCCTGGCTCCAGGCACTTCAGTGCCTTTTGCTTCCTGGTTGCTTGGTTGCTGTGTGTCTCAGCTAGATCCCCACAGGCAAGGACAGGCCTGCTGCTCTGCCACCCACAGCTGGAGGGTGTTGGGTAGAGGTGTTGATCCCCAAGTGGACCATTCATTTGTTAATGTAAAACAGGCTCTTCTCAGGGTTACAGGTCTGGTTATCAACCCACTAAGATGTAATAGTCCTATGCTAAAGATGGATTCACCTCTGCATCTCAGAGACGAAACCTCCTTAGTCAAAGGGATCAAGCCGAATTCTTTAGGAATGGAATCCATTGTATCTGTCCCTCTTGTGTGTCCCACCGCCAGCCCACAGGAAGTTACTTGAAAGACTGAGAAATGAAGTGGGGTGAATTTGGGTTCTCTTTTTTCCAGAAACTCTTTGAAGAAAGCCCACATCTTCGGGATCACGTTCTCCTTCACCCAGGCCATGATGTATTTTTCCTATGCTGCGTGTTTCCGGTTTGGTGCCTACTTAGTTGCTCGTGAACTGATGACTTTTGATAATGTTCTGTTGTAAGTATTGTGCTCATACTTATAATTTAACCCTGAAAGTAAATCTGGGATGAGAAATGGTATGGTGAAGTGTCAGGGAGAAGATCTGGTGGTGAAGAAAGTGGCATTTTGTCCCTGAGAGTCCGTGTGACACTGCGGACACCCCGCATTTCATCAGACACTCTTCTATCCTGGTTGATTCACACATATCCGATCGTTCCAGATCTGTGCCTAGACGTGTAGATCCAGTCAGGGCTCTCCAAAAGGCCATGCCTTTGCACAAAGGTCTCATGTATGTTCAGCAAGGAGGTGAACCTTTCAGACAGGGCAGCTAAGAGGTGGGTGATGTGCCAACTCTTATCAAACCTGAGATATTAAAGATAAAGAAACACATTCAGATATACCGATACAGACATATGCATGCATGCACATGCGTGTGTGTGCGCACCCAGAGACAGAGAGACAGAGAATACGAGAGCATAGAAAGTTTCCCCATAAAGTGGGAAGATTACTCAGAAACTGAAACCCTCCTTTCCCCAAAAGGGCTGGGTGTTTTTGTTTGTTTGTTTTTAAGTGTTATGGGTGGCCTTGTAACAGTTTGTCATTTCCGATTAGTCAGCTTAGATAAAGGGTTGCTGAAGTCCACAGCTTTACCTAAACACACCAGGACCAGCCTTGACCATATCTGACCAGCTGGCACTGGTCAGCTGGAAGGGGGCCTGCAGGAGGAGAGGAAGCCTGCCAGCCTTTTGTCTTGGGAAGGAGGCTAAGGGAAAATCCAGAAGTTACCACTGTTACCATTTATCCGTGTCCCCTTGCCTTGTTTGTTTACTGGTCAGGGGTCTGACTAACTCTTAATCCTTCAGAAGCTGAAGGAATTTTTCAACGACAACGGAAGATGTAAACTAGAATTTTCCTTCTGTGTCTCTGCGCACATTGAACATTATACTTTGGTCATGGGAAGAGAAGCCTGAGAGAAATCGCACTAGTGATGTCACCAAATATGTCGCTTGGTTGTCAGAATGATAGATGAACTTCCTGAGCTTCCAAGTGGCGGCAGGCCAGGCCAGACTCTTCTCCCTAATAGCTTAACATGGTTAGTGCTGTTAAGAGTTTGCATTGCACCCCAAACCAGATAAGCCTGGTACTGTAGTGTGTTAATACACCGTTTGTGCCCTGCTTAAGCGTCGAGTTAGTCATACATTGTAGTTAAGTCGAGATTTAAATTGTTCACCTCACATACATGCATCCTGGGGGTTTGTGTGATTATGACCAAAGACCAAAGCCAGACACTCCCGGAACCGGGACATTAATTTGATCATGCTTTTGATTATTGTTTATTCCAAGATTTTTGAAGTTGCTGGCGTGAGTCCCACATCACAGGTCAAGAATGCAGTGGTTTCGTGAAAGGGGCATCCTAACCGTGCATTTAGGAAAAACGTTGTCTTTATTGCTTGGCTCACGTGATACCTAGGAATGGACAGTGGCAACAGTATGCGTTGCCACAGTTACAGTGTGCAACGACCGGAAACTAAACTTCAGTGACATGGAACTATAAACATTTATTCTGCTTGGAGTCTCTGGGTCAGTTCTCCTTAGCTGAGCGGGGCGCAGTAGATCCTCTTGTGATGGATGCTGTCTGCAGGGAGCTCAGTAGCCAGAGCCAGTGAAGGAGAGAAAAATAGAGGAAGAAAACATGCTGAGTCATAGGACTGGAACTGGCAGCAGGGATTTCCACCACATCCTGTCTGGGAAACCACGCACAAGGCCACCCCAGGTTCAAAACGGGCTAAACAAATTCATAACTCTCAGAAGGAAGGAGCAAAGGTCACGTAAAAAGTTGAGGGTGACAGGGGAGGTGAAGGGGGCTGGCCTGCCGATGACAGCATGTAAGGGAATGAAAGGGCTTTTTATCTTTCACCTTTCAAACTGCAATGGCTCCCTGGTTACAGAGTGCCACGTTGACCACACTGTGGCTACCCCTGTCTGCACAGGCCTGTCTTTTCTTTTCCAGAGTATTCTCGGCTATTGTCTTCGGTGCCATGGCAGTTGGACAGGTCAGTTCATTCGCTCCTGACTACGCCAAAGCCAAAGTGTCGGCATCGCACATCATCATGATCATTGAGAAAGTTCCCGAGATCGACAGCTACAGCACTGAAGGCCTGAAGCCGGTGAGTCTGTCCTCTCGGTGGATGATCCAGCCCTAACTTCTCAATGAAAGGATGCAAAGGGGAAATATAGTAAAATTGGTGCTTTAATTTTAAAAAATGACATGCGTTTGCTAAGACCTAGATGGGCTGATTTGAATAAATGTTAATACTTTGTATTAATAGTCATTGCTTTTATAATACAAAGTTACAGGGAGATAAGACTATAGAAATCCAATCCATAGGATTTTTTTGTATGTAGCTGTTCCAGTCTGGGAGGGTATATCGGTGCTGTATTGTATTGCATGTAGCTGTTCCAGTCTGGGAGGGTATATCGGTGCGGTATTGATAATTCATGCTGTACAACCATTACCTCTTTAGATTTCGTTCCAAAATCAAAATGAAGCTTGACTGTGACAAAAGCTCCCGTCCAACGCCCGGCGCTGGGCGTTCCCGCGGTCGTCTGGGTTTTCAAGATCGTGGTGACCAAACTGTGTGTTCCTGTTCTCATTTTAGAGTACACTGGAAGGAAACGTGCAATTCAGAGACGTCATGTTCAACTATCCCACCCGACCCGACATCCCAGTGCTTCAGGGGCTGAGCCTGGAGGTGAAGAAGGGCCAGACGCTGGCCCTGGTGGGCAGCAGCGGCTGCGGGAAGAGCACAGTGGTCCAGCTGCTCGAGCGGTTCTACGACCCCAGGGCCGGGACGGTGGTGAGCACACTTTTGTATTCAGAACGTTTCAGGTTTTTAATCATCTAAATGGCTGGAAGTGTTTAACTATCGGCCACGGTTTTTTTTTTTTTTTTTTTTTTTTTTTTTTTTTTTTTTTTTTTTTTTTTTGAACCTTTAAGCAGAGCCTTTGTTAGCTAATCTGACAGCCCAGGTGGCCAATCTATGCCAACTACACTGGCCGGTTGACCCAGCTTCTCTCTCAACACGCTGCCTCCATCCTCTGTTGCAAGCAACATTTGACCACCCCTCTCCCTTCTCGTGGTGAGATTTCATCTGACAGTGTAAGAGCTGGCAAGACCTGAAGTAGCCAGAAAAATAAAGAGTTGCAAGAGGTGGAAATGGGGTGAAAAGTCGAGGGTAGGATGCATTTCAGTGAAAAAGTGGCTGGCAAGGACCCAGGATATGGAGAAGTGAGGACTGAGAAGTCAGGATACAACATGGCCATTTGTGGGCGACTCCCACCTCTCACTCTGCTCTCAGTGAAGAGCCGGTAGTGTAAATAGGTCGGCAGGGATGAAGGATGCTTAGAGAAGGATGTGGGGAGGAAGAGAATCAGGGTGAAGGAGGCAAGGAAGCAGAGCGGCAGGCACGGGAGGCAGTCAGCAGACTGGTGAAGGTGAGTCCCTAGCATCTTCAAGGCCAGAATAAGACAATACTACTGACCACACAGAGGACATCTTCCATGGCACAACAGAACATACAGGGCTCCCATAGTAAGATGGAGAGTGGCTAGGAGTATGGAGGAATGCCCTTTTGGCTTCTCGACTAAAATGGTGAGGGAGAAATCAGGATTCCATATCCAACAAAACTCTGATAACCTGTGGGAAAACTATCCCAGGGGCTGGGCAAGAGTGAGAAATCTTACAGGGAGTAATGAATTTTAATGATTACAATGAGCGAGAAATAGGAAAAGAGCCAAAGAAACAGAAATCAGCGCAGCGAACTATTACTAAGTATGTGTTTAGCTATGAGTACTCGGAACATGGCAGATGCATTAGCAATGACCCATTGCTCCAGGAGCCTTGGCAGCACTAGTGACTGGGACGAAAAGAGAATTTTTTCACCTGCTGTCCATGGTTCTTTTAACTTCCCCACAATAAGTATTCACTGCTACTTTGATTTTTTTTTTTTTTTTTTTTTTTTTTTTTTGAGACAGGGTTTCACTGTGTAACAGCCCTCACTGTCCTGAAATTCTCTTTGTAGACCAGGCTGGCCTCTTTTCTATTCTATTCCAAAACAGTTATGACAGGAGGAAGGATTGTAGGAGCCAGACAGGTCAAGGACACCACAAAACCAACTAAGCTGGGCTCATAGGGGCTCACAGAGACTGAACTGAAAACCCGGGAGCCTGCACGGGACGTAGGCCCTCTGCATATGTGTTACAGTTGTGTAGCATGGTCTTCTTGTGGGACACCTAACAGTCGGAACAGGGGCCGTCTCTAACTCTGTTACCTACTTTGGGACCCTTTCCTCCTGGGTTGCATCATCCAGCTTTAATAGGAGAGGAAGTACCTAGTCTCACTGTAACTTGATATGCCAAGACTGGTTTATATCCATGGAGGCCTGCCCATTTCTGTAGAGAAATGGAGGAGGAAGAGTGGATGGGAGGGTGTGTGTGGTCCGGGTGTAAAAACAAAAACAAACACACACACACACACACACACATGTCATGACTTTACTGCATCAATTCTTCACTAGTTACAAGATCTCTGGTCTTTTCCTTACTGCCTTTCTATAAACTATTTTCTGAGAGTTCTGTTTTCAGGTTTCAGTTTTATCACTGATGTTTGAACACAGGACTAAATAATGTTATTACTACATTCAAAATTAGTGAAACGTTGGTTCTCAAACTCTGATTAAATTCTCAAATATAAACAATTTATTTTGTTAAACATATTATTAAATATTTTTGTAAAGAGTTGTAAGGCCCGGCTGTTGAGAGTTTATGCCTATAATCTCTGTATTTGAGAGGCTGAGGCAGGAGAATTCCCATGGAGTCATTGCTAGCCTGAACCACTGTGTGAGTGCCAGGCAAGCCTGGGCTACAGAGTGAGACTTTATCTCGCTCTGTAAAGTTGCAGAGGTGATGAGAAACAAATCCAAGTGCCTTGATACATACACATGAAAGTATAGTAATTAACTCATTATTTTATATGTCAACAAAAAATCAACCAGAAAGCCTTTTCCTTAATCTCGCAGCAACCCAAGTGTTTTGTACTATGAAATAAGGGCAGTTAATTGTCTAAATCTGAACTGTGCTGATCCTGAAGTTGGTCTGTGAACCCTCGCTCTCAGTTTCTAGACGGCAAAGAAGCAAAGCAACTGAACGTGCAGTGGCTCCGAGCACACCTAGGCATTGTGTCCCAGGAGCCCATCCTATTTGACTGCAGCATCGCCGAGAACATCGCCTATGGAGACAACAGCCGGGTCGTGTCCCAGGATGAGATTGAGAGGGCGGCCAAGGAGGCCAACATCCACCATTTCATCGAGTCGCTGCCTGACGTATGTACCTTGGGCCTGGCAGTTAGCAGCTCCTCTCAGTTGTTCTTTGTTGCTCCCCCTCTTCATCCTGGGGATGAAACCCAGGGCATTGCACATTGCAGGCACCCCTAGGCCTCTCATCAGAAACCCAGAAGTCTGGCTGCCCAAAGATAAAGAGAAATTAGAAATCAAAATATATCTTACCTGCAGAGAGACATCTATTCATACTTCTTATCCGAGTTAGAGGTTATGTTTGCCCAATCTCTTACCTGTCATTGTGAGGAGGCAACACATTATTACACATTTTCAAATAGAAGAGACAGGGACTTTGATAACTGGGACAACCCTTAGGGCTGTAGGCTCAAGGATCCACGCTGGAACAGTTCTTTAGTTTCTTAACTTAGGATCCAGCTGTTTCTGGTCTGGGGATACACGTGAGCATCCCCTCCCAGGTAAAGGGTAGACAGGCCGCATCTGGTTTCCATGGATGCTGCACTGTTTCTGCAGAGAAAACAGGCACAGTCATTCTGTAGCTTCCCTCAGTGGTCCATGTGACACTGTGGAGTTAGGCCAGACAAGAGATGTCTGCCCATGCCTGAAAGAAGGGTCTCCTAATAGAGCTGAGTCACTGGGATGGCTGTGGTATTATAAAATTTATAATTGCTGTATAATTGTAGGGTCCTGAGCCACAGTCTTAGAATTGACTATCAAAATCTTTCCTGGGCTATTATCTTATGGACTTCTCTCATTTCTTCCTGTAAGTTAGATAAATTGACCCTCTCACCTTCTTGTGTGTCTTCTTAGATCTGACCTAGATATCATACACTCGTGTGTCCTCACTAGTTATATTTGTCATTACAGGAAGTGCTCATGATAAAATAAGGCTTGGTAGCCATTAACTAGCCAGACAAGCATGATACAAGGTGGCCCAAACACTTCCCTAAACTTTTTTCCTTTGGTCTTCTCACAAATAACTGCTACCCTCAAACACATTGCCTGGGAAGAGGCCTGCCCCTTTCTCTCCTCAGTGTTGTCTAGCCATGAATTATTAACAGTGTGAGATCAAAGTACAGGATCCAGTGATAAGAGTCACCAACTTTCAAAGCTGAATGTGGATTAATATCACTGAGGAAGTTATTAAAAGTACGAAGTATCAGGAGCCACCCTATTTCTGGTGAAGAAGAATATTCTGGCAGTGGGGCCAAAGGCTCTGAGACTTAAATCCGCAATAATTCTGATGCAGGCTACAACACAGCCACTAGAGCTATAATCTCTTACAATGATTTTTGTCCTCTGGTATTTGACAACTGCAAGGCTTCACCTCTGGCCTTGGATCTCTCTTTCTCTGTTACTCAGATCATCTCTTGGACATCATGGTTCTTGTTCTCAGTGTTCAAGACCAGCCTGTTCTCTAAGCGCCCCTCTGTCAGTGATTAGACAGGAATCTGGCTTACTCTGCCCGTCTGTCTCCTCCTTCTTGGGGTCACAGTACTGTCTTTATGGACCCCACAAGGATCACAGCTGAGTTCCTGCTGTCTGGTGACTCCACAGCCACCTGGGGAGGGACACATCAGAGCACCTCCATTCTGAGGCAGATACAGCTCAGGGGTGGGACCCTATCAAGCGTCTGCCCGGACCTTACTGGGGTCCTTCTCTCCAGAGGCTGGAGAGATTGTTCAGTCATTAAAGTGCTTGCAGCACAACCCTGAGGCCCCGAATTTAATCCCCAACACCCAGACAAAGAGAGGGGTGGGGTACAAGCTTCTTATCCCAGCCCTGGAGAGGCACATAGAGGAGAATCCCTCAGAGGTCACATCCAGTCAGCCTAGCCTAGTCAGTGAGCCCTAGATCCAGGTGAGAAGCCCTGTCTCAAGAAAAGAGTGAACAGTGTCCGAGGAACACAACACAGGCACACACACACACACATGCGCGCACACACATGCACACACACCAATAAGAAAGGAGTACACATATATAGAACATGAAGTTAAGAGTCAAAATTCAGGTGTAAAAATTAGAACTCACATTTTGATTATAATCTCAGCATATTCAGGGCTCAAATATAGGAAAAGAACGTTTTCTAGTTTAACATGATGCCACATCCTCTGAAAACCCTGGAACTTCTGTCTCTCGCTAGTCATCTTGACTAGTGATGATTGCCTATGGTGGGAGACAGTATAGGAAGAATTTCGAATGAAAGGCGAAATCAAAATTTTTTGAGGAGCATTTGACTTTTCAAGGTAAAATATTAAAGTATAATTCCTTAATATCAATTAATTAACATTATTTAATTGTTGGTGACAGTTCATAAAAACAAAGACCCAAATGCTAACATCCCAAAAATCTCCTCTTTTTTTTTTTTTGCTTTATAATACTTCACAGGGCATCAAGTACAGATTCTGAATAAGACAAGCTTTGATAATATCATACAGTTGTTTGAATTTCCCGCAAATCTTGTCCTTAACGTAATGAGACCAAAAGGTGAAAGATAGCATCACTGCAAAATTCCTAGACTTAGAAATTTTGGTCAGCTCACATAAAGCACACGGTTTTAAAGTCTAGTTTCAGCCAGGATAAAATAAGGTGTAACGTCACACATCTGTCCTCCCACCACTTGTAAGAGACAGGAAGAGTTCAAGGACAGGCTGGTCTGTGTAGTAAGTGTGAGACTTGCCTGGGATACAGAGTGGAACCCTAGGAAAGGAGACAGAGAGTTAACACGGTCGCTTTGGAAGGAAAGGAGTCTGCTACCATGCCGGACTCATGACTTTGATCCCCAGGGAGGATCTAACAATTACAAATTGTCCTGTGATATCTCTCTCTCTCTCTCTCTCTCTCTCTCTCTCTCTCTCTCTCCTCTTACACACACACACACACACACACAGAGAAACACAATGTAAAAGCACATAAAAATAACAGGGATATTAAATTCATCATTTTAAAACTGTTTTGTTATTCTCTTCAATGAACCCATTTTAACTTGTGGGACTAAATTTTCTAGTTATTATATATACATATGAATGTTTGTAAACGTATGTACACACATATGTATATATAGAGAGTGGACTATAGATTTTGTTTTCATACTTGGATTTTGACTGTTAAATCCATGTTTTATATTATATATATTAGAAAATTATATATTCTGTGTCACACTGTGTTTGCACTTGGTCGTGAGCTCTGTTTTCATTCACAGAAATACAGCACCAGAGTAGGAGACAAAGGGACTCAGCTGTCGGGTGGGCAGAAGCAGCGCATCGCCATAGCGCGCGCCCTCGTCAGACAGCCTCGCATTTTGCTACTGGATGAAGCAACCTCGGCTCTGGATACGGAGAGCGAAAAGGTAAGGATTTTAGTTGAGTCTTTCTCTGCCACAGTAGAGAACACTGAGCCAGATAGCTGATGGCTGCCTGTGTGGGCTCCCTGTGGAGTTAAAGTCTGTCTGCAGCTGGGATTTAGGAGCCCTGCCTGAAGTGATAAAAGGAAGAGAAGTCTTGGGCCCTCTGTGCTCTGTGAAGTCTGCCTGCAAGCTGCATGCTGACAGCAGTCTGTTCCTGCAGCCTGCGTCTCTGCAGCAGCCTGTGAGGAGCTGCAGGGAGACAGGGTTGAGGTCTGGCCGTGCCCTGGACACAGCTGCTGGTGCCTTCCATCTTGAGAAAGGTTAAGAGTCCGCTGTCTGAAAGGTAGATGCTCAGAGGACGTTTCTGCTGCTGCATGGCTTTGCCGTGTGCTCCAGCTTCCTGATGCGCTGTGGAGCTGCTGGAGGCCAGCTTGAGGGCTGTTGTGTGGCAAGGGCAGAGAGTGTTTGTAAATGGTCAGATGGACTCTGTTGACTGCCCTTACCTTACGTCTGACATCTCTTCTCTCAGAACTCGTCCAAACTGGGGTTCACTTCTCTGGTGGTGTGACTGATACCTTGGTTTCGATCTCTGCTTTCACCTTCACCACCACTGTTGAAGGACAGAGTGTACAAATCCTGGGGCTGGTTATGGGGGGGACGATAGGAAGATGGCAGATTTTATCCTAACTCTTTTGTGTGACTGGTCAACAGGTGGTCCAGGAAGCTCTGGACAAAGCTAGGGAAGGCCGCACCTGCATCGTGATTGCTCACCGCCTGTCCACCATCCAGAACGCGGACTTGATCGTGGTGATTCAGAACGGCAAGGTCAAGGAGCAGGGCACCCACCAGCAGCTGCTGGCGCAGAAAGGCATCTATTTCTCAATGGTTAGTGTGCAGACCGGAGCAAAGCGCACGTGAACTGTGACCATGTAAGATGTTAAATATTTTTTAATATTTGTATTAATAAACAGCATTTAATCTAAGTCAAAGAGAAAGCACTTACTAGAATAGCTAGTTATCTATTCCCTGTCGCAATGAAAAGCATTTCGTCCAGAGTAGAGTCTTCAGAGACTATGTATCAAAGGGACAGAAATAGATAAATCACCAAACGGAGAGTAATCATTTAAATTGCACTATAAGATACATAAAAGAATTAAAAGTACATGTTTGATAATATATACTTTTATTTATACTTTCTCATTTGTAACTATAATTGATTTCCTTGCTAAACAAATTGTATGTATCAAAAATTACTGAAACGTATTGTATATGTATACAAGTAAATGTATACTATATACTTGTATAAAGTATATATAGTAAAACTAAACTTTTATATCCTTTGAATTATCTTGTCCAAAATACATGTGAAATTATATATCTATCAGTTGGAATATTGTGGCTACTTTAGCTCTTAAGAAGTAGTCTATTATGGGGGGGGCTGTCACTCTATGGGAAGAGTGCCTGATGTACAGACATGCGCACCTGAGCTCACATCCCTAGCACTTACAGAAGCAGGTATGATGGCATGCATTTGTAATGCCAGTGCTAGAGGCAGAAGCAGGCAGATCCTGCAGTCTTGCTAAAATAGGGAGATGCAGGTTCCGTGACAGACCTTGTCTCAAAAATAAGAGGGGAAAGGAAAATGAGAAGAACATCTTGATATCAAGGTCTGGCCCCTACACTCCTATATGGACAAGTATACACAAATGTGCACTCATGCAAACACATAACATGCATGTGTATGTACAAACAGACAGACACACACATGCTGGCTGTTTGAAATTAAAGAGATAAAATAAGAAAGGAAAAAGAGGTGCCCATAAAATTCATCAAATGGTGCTTCCACCAGTTTTGCCCAGAGAAGATTCATTTTGCAGCGATCGGCGGTGTCTGCAGACTCACACCTAACTGTTGAATGGGCAGCCATAAATGAGATATCACTGCCTCCAAAGCCTCCAAAGCTCATGGAACATTACAGAAAAGGGGGCAGAAAGAATGTTAAGAGCCAGAGGAAGGGGTGGGGAAACGTATAGCATCCTGACTTATAGGAATAACATGGCTGCTGCATTCTTGAACTCATAGTAGCTGTGATTGTCTGCAGAAGACCTACAAAAGGCTGGACCAGTCAACACTCTGACATCAGAGAGAAGGGGCTCATGAGGCTCCATTTCACTCAACGGGCTTGTATGCAGTTAGCGGGTGGCTGGAAAGAGAAAGACATTATCCTCATTGGTCTAGTCACTAGTAATGTATCACGTACCAATTACAGACCCTCACCTGTGTTTCTGTAAGCAACCCCAATGGGAATTATTCAGTTTATCTCTCTCTCCTTCATTTTCTCTGTCTCTCTCTCACACACAAAAATCCCCCAAACATCAAAGGAGGACTAGCCAAGAAGATGAAGGGGATTAACAAGGGCGGGGGAATGGGACGAAAGAGGGTACCTGGATGAGTATGATTGAAGGATGCTATGGCCATGTATGAAACCACCAGAGTGAAAGGAGAAATGAAAATATCCCGTACTGTAAACAGGGGAATCTTATTAAAGGACCCTAAGGACTCTACTGGAAAATGCTTAGATAAGGTAAGTAGTTTCAGCAACCAGTAGCTTCTCTACACACCAATATTAGGAACACGCTGAGAAAAATCAGGAAAACAGTCTTATTTATAGCAGTCTCAAAATAAATAAATCAGTAACATGTAATACCTAAGATTAACCCTGGTCAATGAACTCTGAAACACTAAAGAAAGCCCTGGATGACAACCCCAGAAGAGCAAAGACATCCCACACGCACAGATCCTCAGAGCTCATCTGGTGAAGGTTGGCTGTCTTACCAAAAGTGACCCACAGCTCCAATATGATCCAAATCATGAAGTCAGTTAAATACTTCGTGAAACTCTGAAAATGAATCCTAAAATTCCTATGGAAGCCCTGAGAGCCTAAGTAGCCAAAACAGTCCTGAGCAGAAATAACGGTGCTGCAGTTTCATAATCCCTCATTTCAAGTTATACTACAGGAAAAGTCTAACAAAACTGCACGCACTGTTGCAAATACAGGCATGCGGATCAGTGTAATGGACTATCCAGAAATAAACTCATGCAGGTACCCTATGTGACTTTTCATGTAGGTGTCAGAAAACACAAGTTAGGCAAAAGACAGTCTCTCCAATAAGTGGATTTCCTCATGTACAACGACAGTGGATGGCTCTCTGATGCTCTGTACCAACGCAATTTAAAACACATCAAAGGCTTGAATGTAAACCTGAGAGTTTGAAATTGCTAAAGGAAAATACACATAAAACACTTCAAGATATAAGCATAGGCAAGGACATGCTGAAATAGACTCCAGCAGTACAGATAATCATCAAAAGAATTGATAAGCAGGGTTACATGGAATTAAAAAGTTTCTTCACTGGAAAAAAAGCATCAGCAAAGTGACAAGACATCCTACAGGATGAATGAATACAAAATTATACACAAAAAATCAGTCAAGAAATAAGTACAGAAAATAAACAATTCTCAAAAGAAGCACAAATAAATACAAAATATGCGACATATATAAAGCTCATATGTAAGCTCAAAAGACATGAAATAACCATAATGATCTTGAACAAAAATAATAAAGCTGAAAGTATTATAACAGTTGACTACATGGCATATTACAGAACTATAGTAACAAAAACACATGGTTACTAGTTTAAAAACAAACACATAGACCATTGGAGCAGAAAAGAGGTCCCAGGAATAAAGCCAGCCAACTGATTCTTAAGCAAAACATACAGGTGGGGGAGACTTTTCAGCAGGTGGATACCTACATGTGAAAGACTGAAGCTAGACCCCTATCTCTCACATATCAAAATCCATTCCAAATAGGTAAAAGACTATTTCATATAACAAAACACCTCAAACTTTGAATCTACTTGAAGAGAGCATAGGAGAAGTGCTTTGAGATGTGCACACAAATAGCAGCCTCCTGGGTTTCTGATGCCAGTAGCTTAGGAAATAAACCTAAGCTAAGCGAGTACTATTCTATCCAATGCAAGGGCTTTTGCACATCAAAAGGAATAACCCAGTTCAGAAGCAATCTAAGGCAGACCTTCCCCAAAGCTGTGTGCCACCCTCTCTGAGGACTGGAGGGGGCTGGACGGGAGGGTATGTGGAGGGAATGGGAGGAGAGGAGGGAGGAGGAACTTGGATTGGTATTTTTTAAAAATCTAATAAATTTTTTTAAAAAAGAAACAATACACAGTGGGAACAAAGCTCTTCTAGCTATTTTACAAATGTTTACTAATCCAGATTAAATAAATCATTAAAAAGCAATAACAACACACCAAGCAATCCAATTTCAAAATTGAAAAATAATCTAAATAGCGATTTCTAAAAAACAAAATCAAACAACCATATGGCAAGACTCCTATGTATGGGAGTAGCTTGCCAGGCTTGTCCTTGTGATTTACAGAATTCACAGCTGGGTAGGACTGGTGATTGCTTTCTCTCTTGGCAGCATGCATCACACTGTCAGAAACAGTGAGTGCTGTTTCTACAACTGACCACAATGCAGCCAGCAGCTGACTGTGGGCTGTGCAAGTCCAACTGATCCATCTACAACACAGTCCTATGTGTTAAGTCCAGGGGAGATCTTGGACAAGGGGAAGAAAGAATGTTCTGCTGTGAGATGACAGGGAAGGTATACCCATGAAATGTCACCATTATGTTCTCTTAACCAAAACCTGGACAATGACAACACCAGTTGACATACCAACATGTCTGGGGGAAATCTCACATGGCCCCACTCCTAGATCAAGAGCTTCATGCAATTAATTGGAGCTGAGAAAGGGGAAATCAGTCTTCTCCAGGGATGAGGCCCCAGTAGGTTGACCAACCCCAAGCAGTCAGCTCTAACACATACGCAAACATAAAAGTAATACAAAATGAACTCAGGGCACGCGCTCTCTCTCTATGTGTGCGTGTGTGTATACATATGTAAGTAACAATAATTAAAGATAAAGAAGTCAAGAAGGAGCGATATAGGAGGATTTAGAGGATGGGAAGGGAGAGAAAAGGACACCGTACTCATGTATGAAATTCTAAAAACAAATAAAAATTTAAAAAGAATGACATGATCTCATTTTGTGGAAAGTGGATATGGAGACCTGAAGGTTATACAAACTAGACCAGATTCAGAATAGATACAGAATGAAACTATGGGAGAGATGATAAAGGGGCAATGAGAGGGAAGGAGGGGTCTAAAAAGAGGGAGAGAGGAGCAGATAAGGTAATAGGTAAAAAGGAGAAAGCAGACAGGGTGTTGCTCACACAAGCAGATGTATGAAAGCTCAAGTGTGGCTTCTGTGTGGTGGAAAGGAGGACATGTGCAAAGCACAATGACACACGTATGAAATATCATCATGGAGCCCATTATTCTGTAACTCAACTGAAAGGCTAATAAAAGTAAAACTGAAAATTGGTTAAAGAATAGATGAAAAATGCTGACCACCCTCAATCCACCAGGAAACTGTGAGTGAAGACTACACTGAGACTCCACCTCACACATGCTCAAAGGATTATCATTTTCAGTAATAAATAAGAAGGGTAGATGCTGTCAAGGCTACGGAAAGTAAGAAACCTTATACACTGCTGGGAAAAATGTAACAACCATGGAAAACAGTATATAGCTTCATGAAAACATTAAAAATACAATTACTAGAGCTAGAGAGATGGTTCAATGGTTAAGAGCACTTGGTGCTCTCGCAGAGGACGTGGGTTCAGTTCCTAGCACCAGTGTGTTGACTCACAACCATCCATAGCTCCAGGTCCAGAGGATTCAACCCTCTCTTATGATTTCTGAGGGCAGCAGGCATGCATGTGGTGCACTTACATACAGGTAGACAAAACACTCATAGACATAGAATAAAATAAATAAATCTTTAAAAATACAATTGCTATTTGGTTCAGCTATCATTCCTGGGCATATATCCAAAGGGAGTGATTCAGCACATACCTTAGTTACTTTCCTCATTGTTGTGGAAAAAAAATACCTGTCAAAATCCACCAAAAGAAGTAGATTATTTTCATTCATGGTAATACAGGCCATTGTTGCATGGCGGCATGCAGCAAGGGTCACATGGAACCTACCGTCAAGAAGCAAAGAGAGATTAATGCCAGTGGTCAGCACCAGGGCATAGGATGTGGGAACTTTAGAGAAGACCCAAAAATGACCTAACAGTAGAAAAGTCTTGAGTTCAGCCCTCAGCACCCTCATGAAAGGCAGAAATGAGGGATGCGCTATACTCCCAGCACTGGGAGGTACAGCGAGGTAGACGATGTCCAGCCAACGTCATCTACTCAGTGAGCCCTAGGTAACAAAGAGAAAGTGTCAGA